TCGCGCGGTGCTCAGTCGTTTACAGCGGAAGGTGCTGATCGGTTCACAACTCTGCCCGTCTTGACGCGAATATCCATTATATAGCGTTGTAAACCACAGCATGTGATTATCAGATCGATTTCTGTGCAGAAGTTCCCATGCCTGAGGTACATTAATGGACTTTTTGATGCTCTAGGAAATTGATTATGACAGAAAGCTCGTCGTTTGTAAACAATCGCAAAAGCTTATTGACGTTTTTTTAAGGTTGCCGAGATTGTTTCGTTCAATCAGGTATTTCCACTTTTCAGTGTCTGCCGATTAGAATCATGCAGTCAATTTCGCTGTCATCAGTTCGTACAGAGCACCTCCTGCTTCCAGCAGGAGAGACTCCTATCTTACCTCTGAGTCTGGGACAGATCTCTATCAAGATCAAAGCTGAAGAATTTTATAATTGCAGTCTGATGGTTGTCACTGTACCTCTGAATATCTTTCGTTCAATGATTATCTCTGGCTGGGTGGATTTCATCAGAATTGCAACACCTGCCTTATCGCGTTTCGTGATATCGACGCAGGAATTCAATAGCTTCCGCCCGTAGAGGTTTAGAATTAAAGAGTCTTGGCGCTTCGATCCGAGAAATGGTCCCTTACCGCATCGTCGACTAGCCCTTGCTCCTTCCTTTTATGTGAGGTGATGTTCCAATTTCCATTTATGATCATCCGCTGTCAGTTTCGTTCCCGCGGAAATTAATCTTATTTTGCATCGTGCCGTCTGCCTCCTCCGTTCAATACGAGTAGCATCTGAGTTGCTTTATATTTTCATCGTCATCATGCTGCTATGTCCGCAACTGCCAGAAGACTTGAAGCAGCCTGTTTCAGTTCTCCAATAGCCTGTACAGCCTTTGGTAAACGACAACGACAGCAGCCCTATTGCATTTGACAACGAATATACCGAAAGGGACAGTCTTGCGGAAAGTATCGCCACGGTCATCAAACAATTATCTTCATCCTTCTCCTTTCTATCCGTCTCTGAGTCCAGCAATAGCGGAGTTTAATTCGGTTTAGATTAGAGGAAAATTTCCAGATATGATGGAACCAGACGATAGATCAATGTTGCTCCGCAGATGCCGGTTAAATTCCCGCGGAGGGCAATTTTTGTCTCTACTACGAATTTCCCTGAGCGCGAAATCTACCGCAAATTGATCCAGACAAAAATTACCTGGCTATAAATCGTCGGACTCAGGGTACTGAGTTCAAGCCATTGGTGGGGTCGCTCCCATCTCTTCCGAGGTTTACAAATGAATACCACTCCGATAAAAAGGAGGAAAGGATAAAGCGAACATAAAATATGTTCGTCACGTATCTGCTGTCGATTCTGCCTTTAAAATCAAGGCTGGGGAAATAGAAATTTATTCATCACCAAAATCGTTAACTTTGTGAAGATAATTGTTTTAAAAACGGCTTCACTATGAAAGTGTAAACGGAGACTGATATTCCAACAATTCAAACTTTAAATAAATAAGATTTCAGGTTTTGATTCGCTTCCTGTAGAAATATAGAAAGGTGGTTGAACGATTCATGATTCAGAGTAAAGAACGTAACAGATGGTAAAACGTTAATTGCCAACGCGTTTCACTACGTCGAAATAACATCCTCAGAGCTGGGTTGAGCACAAAATCATTTGGTGGAATTATTTATGCTCAGCCTAGCCCTGATGATGATACGGCTTATGTAATGAAACGCGTAGGCAACAAAGGTCTTAACTTCTGCTGTATTTTGTGTCCTGAACTATGATTCGATCAACCACTTATCAACTATAAACTCTCCTTATTTTTTCTCCAGGTCAATCTGTAGACATTGGGTCGAAGCATTTTCTGCGCTTTCGATTGAAGTATTTATATGGATATAGTTACATAATAAGTCACACGAAAGATAGGCTACATATGTCAGTACATCGAATATATGTGAAAGATAGAAATCCGAAATGGTCCAATTCGTTTAACATTAAGGTACACTTCCAACTTAAAATATTAGACAACTCCTTTCGGTATCACATGCCAATCTATTTTGTAATACTGTCATTATCAGTAATAATGCATCAAATAATGCATTTAATGCCATCTTTCGGCTTAAAGTAAGTTTCTGTTTTTCAACGTCGTTTTAGGATTTAAAAAGGCTTAAATTTGTATGATTCCGCGCTCAGTTAAGCGCGTAACCTTTTTGTACGTTTAGATGAAATTTTGCCAGGCCTGCTGACAAGTGAGTACTTCGATTTCTAGATTCGTTTTCCTCTTAAACTTTACCTTTCTGGCGGTTATTGAACAGAAATACCATGTAAGTCACATTCAGTGCTATTTCGAATGCTAAGCTAACTTTCTGTTTAAGTTCCATTTAATCGGGTTTATGCATCGCAATATGCTAATTGGCACGTAGCACTTAAATGGTCCTTTAAGCAATTAAAAGCAAAGAGGTAGTAAAATACGCCCGGAAATCTGGTCTTTGAAAAGTTGCGCTCCGTTGCTCACTTCATGACAGTTATCATCCATTTATAAAACACTTTTTTACTCTTAAACTTCTGACTGTATATTGTAGTAAAAGTTCTGCACTTCTCTTATATTAGAATCTTAAATCTCAGTAATCCTTACTTGACTGAATTTGAAAATGGATTTCTTACAGAGCTTTACTTAATTAAAATGTGACTGCAAGTCACCAGTGCCAAGAAGACGAAGACAGTATATGCGACAGTCAGCACGAGGATTGTATACAATGGGAAAGTGAATCATGTACAGTACCTCAGAATTGTGTCGATTAACGATCGCTACGTTTATCCGGAAGTGAATTGGACTTTCATCAGCGAATTTTAGCGAGCTGTGTAATTCATAAGAAGATCTATGTACAACAGGTGTCTCTGAAGAATAAACTCTCAGTATTCAAGTCGATCTTCATCCCCATGCGTACATACGGTCATGAGTCGTGGACCATCACTTACGAACTTCGATCCCAGTTGCAGGTGGATGAAATAGGCTCTCTGAGACGAGTTGGTGGCTATTACACGTCTCGACATGATCCGGAATACAAACATCTACCAGTGCCTTGGTGTAAAGCCACTGTTTCTTCAGATTAAGAAGTCACAGCTGCAATGGTTTGGGCATGTGTTGCGAATGCCTCCACGAAGGCTAAGCAACTATTTCTTGCCGTCGACCGAGGGGACGGCCGAGATTAACCTGGTGCAAATATATGGAAGAAGTTTGTTCCACACTCCAGTTGTCTTCTGCTGAAGCTCAGACTCTGGCACAGGATCGAGAACGTTGGAAGCTCTGTCTGACGCGTCTGCCTGCGCGACGCGAAGGGAGAAGCGGTCATGGAAGATAAAGATCTGTGTACAAGAACGGCTGCAAAAATCACCTTTCCGAAAGCAGCCATATTTGCAGTACTCATATAAGTCTCGAAATATCTGCATCATGAAGTGTCATCAAAGTTGCATTGACTGCTAACAGTAACGCTGCGCCGTATACTCAAAGTGCGATGGTAACTGCGTCACGAACGAACAGGTGCTGACGACCTCCCACCTGAGGTAGTTATTGGATGAACTCAAAGACCGACCCCATGCTTGGTGTGATATAACGACCAGAAAACAGAGAACAGGTATGAAATAGTTTCAAAAAGTTTCTCGCTTGGGAACCTTGCACTGGCATCAGACGCATTTGATGATAAGAAAAAATATGTGAAAGTGCCTCCTTGAGTAGACTTGCTTTGGGAGAGGAATATGACCTTTCAGTAGAAGTGAACGTTACTTAACGTCAATATGAAGTACCATCTTAACGGTCAGACATTAAGCTGGGTTACTCTACGGTCTATTCTCTGTTAACCTTTGATGGCAATGACACAACAGCAACAGTGGTCAGCATTTGTTTGTCCTTATAATCTGGCTTTAGAGGAGTCATTCGTTATTTGACATACAGACAACTTATGATGTTGATGCAGTGGCATCTAAGGAGTACCCGCTCTTGCAGAGACATTCGTGATGAGCTCTGGGCGGCTCCAGCGAACAGAATGATGAGATTCATCTGAAAATGTAGGTGCTCAAATACAGTGCAGCCGTGGCCTGCTTAAATAGCCTTCAAACCAGCTAGGATGAAGGGGATCGTGAACACGCCGTACAGTCTGGTCTTGTAGGAGTCATTCGTTCCCGTTTGATTTATCAGCGAATCAGAAGCGTTCAATATGACATTCTGCAAATAAGGTAACATGTAGTTTATGATGAATTTACGCATCAAAGTAATGCATGTTACAAATGCTGGATATTTCGGATCATACTATAAGCCTTCGCAAGGATCATATTAAAAACTTATGAAATACGTTTAACAAAAAATGTCGGCTATTGTATTTATTTGTTGCATGTATTTAATATGCTTTAATAGTGTACATGTGCAGTATCACACCTGGACAAGGATAAAGTGTGGTAGATAAGTTTGCAAAATATATAACTATGCAGAGTAAATAAATTTGTAGAACAGGGCAGATACAGAACTACATCCATTAACAATGCGTTTATCAGTAGTTGTAAAATTTATTATATATGTAATCAGTAAGTGAGTGAAAATCTGCAGGCATGTTCCAAATACATATTGGTACCATCAGTTGATAAACACTGATGGTCGATAGGGACAACTAGAAATAACATCTCCAGTTAAAACGATACTCTAAAAGATGTGCCATTGTCATTCTTGCCTTTCTGTGTTCATTTACCGTTCGGCTTTAGTGTGCAATGGAAACAACCGCCGACCTTTATCCTGTCTTGAGCGTTTCATGGAAATTAGCAGCTGGTGTAATAGTTAAACTTAAAGACGTGACCGAAGAAACGATGGCGCGTGATCTTCTAGAGTCCTGATGACATAGCGACCCGGAAATGAATAGTCCAGCCTTAATTACGGCTTTTCTCCAGTTCGCGGAATAGTCGATTGCGTGCTTAAAGATAGTGGTGCAGACGTTTAAACAACTTTTTTCTTATAGTACACTGACCCATGTCTGGCATATTCACACCGACCAATCAGATCCGTCTGACTAACGTTGCTGTGGTAAGGTTAAGGAAAGCTGGCAAGCGGTTTGAAATTGCTTGCTACAAGAACAAGGTTATGTCATGGCGAAATAAAGTGTAAGAGCATTTTTAATCTGTTATATAATTTATAGGTTGTTTGTTTTTAAATGCATACTGTTATACTGTTACACCAGGTTGTTTTATGCATCTTCTAACGATCAGTCTTTTGTCAGCACTAGAAGTTAGTTCAGATACTCCCACAATACTAGAAGTCAAAAAATCTTTCCGCACATTCTGATATAGAAAACCTGTGGTATTTGTGGATCCTCTGGAATGAGCCAGATGGAGAGGAAATGGAATGGTAGCAAGGTTCTGCGACTTTTTCATCAAATCTCAAAGTGTTTCCTGGGAGAATGGAACCGTTAGATAACCGTCCCGGTATTTAAATATTTAAACGGGCGAAAAATTCTGTTATAATTATTGTAGTATCACGACGGTTATCTTTTGTGAAACTCTTCTGTTATGTCATATTTGCGAGGCAGTTGATGCGAGACCGTCAAAATCAGGAAAGCTTCCCCACGTGGCATAGTTACTCTGACCAATATTTTATGTCACAGACACTTTGGGTAGAGTCGACGATTCCCGCTCTTTCTATGGTTGACAACGTTAACTAGTTATGATGTTGCATTTGATATGCATTAATTGCATTTGAATACATCGTGAACATATGATGACAATTTTCAAATGCTGTTGGATCAGTGAGCGCATCCTCTCCATCTTGAGTGATGTAGGCAGAAATCATGTCTGCTGTTAAGGTTGACGGACACTATTTGAGTGGTTCGCTCTTAAATGAGGAATTTTCAAAGGGATGCATTTTCGCCCTTCATATTCAACATTGCCCTCGACTTTCTTCTCTGAAACAGTGATGTCCCCGGCACAGATAAGTCTATATAGGGAAGATACATTTCAAGATATCCGGCTAGACGTACTGCTGATTTGGAAAACGGAGATGGAATTGCCTTAGGGAGCGGGTTTCATCGCCTGACGGTTTCCATTGCAACACAGCTATGAAAGCCCGAATCTAGTATTACGCTTGGAAGTGCAAAGTTATTAGGAACTCTTCAAGACAGCAGATCTACTGGTGGAACAGCGTAGGGAAGCCAGAGAGGAAGTCAACTAATAATTATCCCAGCTCACCCATTTCCTGCGATTGCACCATCCAGTCAGAGTTAAATAAGAGGATCTCTCTTGCCTCTGGTGTTTTCGGTAACCTTTCAAGTATCTTGGCTGAGGGAAGAATATTCCTTTTCACGTAACATTCTGTATTCTGTGCCGTCTCTGTCAGAACAGCGTTGTTATACGGTATGAAATAAGAGATGATTGAGCTCTATGCAGCAGCGCTGGTTTCGACGCATAATAAAGGTTAAGCGATGGTACTGTGTAGCCAAAAACTGTGTCCTGTGCCGGGCACAGGTCTGCACCGTAGATGAGGAAATTAAGAAATGGATTTTGATCCTTGGATGTTAGACAAACTTTTTGAGCATAAGCCATTTCCTGGAGACGATGAACTTCTCGTATTGGAGCCGCACTACGCAAACGTCGACCAGGAGGTTAGTATGCAATGTAAAGGGACAACCAGGTTCGGAGCAGATCTGCTTTCTACAGGAATTACTACATATGCGATGCAGTAATCGGTTCATTATTGTCAAAGTGTTGTAAAGCTGTGAATTCTGCGGGGATCATAAATCAGAGACGTTTTGCTTATGCAGACGACTCGAGGTGATGATCGCTGAGAAAGACTGCACGAAGATAGCGTTGACGAAGATGGACGGTAAAAAGCATTACACAGTTAAAAGCTAATAAATAATAATAATAATTATAAAACCAGATTTTGCAGAGACTGCATAAAAAGTTTTTTAATTCTGAATATTTGTAATTTTTAAAATGTTGAGTTCGAAATTAATACTTATGATTAGAGCTGATTTTTAGCGAGAAAGATATCAATGAGGTACTTCAAACGCACACGGTCTTTCTGAATGTGTCAAAAGGTCAGACAGCCAACAAAGAGGATTTGATTGCAGCTTTCGGAAATGACGATCAATCAAAAATTTGTCAGCTGGTAATTACATTTGTCATGTTATAGCTTGTAATGCAGTTAATGATTTTTTGGTTAATCTGCTGTCATAAGATCACAGTATGTAGTTTCGAAACTTTTACTTAAGTCAATTTATTCGCCCAGCCCCGTGTTTTTAAGATGTTTTTAATATTATAGAAATCACAATGTGCTGCTTATGAACAGCACAGAAATTAAAGGTTAGCTTCCTATTGCCATTTGTCCACATGAATATTCTAACTTCTCAGAAAGTAGATTTGAATGTCAATTCGCGGAGAATTTCAATCAGAGATTTCTTCTGGCACTTTTTCTTATAGCTTTGCTGAGGATGGTAGGTAATCTAAATATCCCAAGGCTGATTCTGATGATCACTCTGAAACGATAGTTCTGACATGCGGAAAGACAGTTTTCGAACTGAACCAACAGGCTAACATTGAAGTCCTTTTGCCATAAGGCATCCATAAGGTGAAATTTTACTGCTTGATCAGAATCGTTAAAAATCTTCCATATGGCATAAATTGAAAATACGTTCATACAAATCAAGTAAGTAACAGTAAAAAAAGAAAATAGTTGTGAAGGAAATTATGCACAGAGATCTGTATACGACTTATAGAGTTGCATTCATAAGACCCCCCGCCCTCCTCCAGAGAACTGTAAACTGCCTTTCTTTGGCGTAAATTTTTGGTGAACATACCAGAATCATAATTTGGGCCGACAGTTGAACTGGTATCAGAACAGCCGACTTGCCACTTAGCAGTTATCCTAATCAGCAACGTTTCGATTATGCGGACCGGACCACAAACTGATAAGCGATGAATTGATAATGTAAGTGTTAAAAGCTGAAAGGTTCGTTAAAATCAGTATTGAGAAATAGTTAAATTTTTAACGTAACTGGCAGAACATTGTTTTCATTAGAGCAGGAGTCATGTTTGGCATTTGCACATTTCAACATTTCATTTCATACCGATCATCTTATTAAAATACAGATTAGCAACCCACAGGTTTTAGATACAGGAAACAATGTAAATGTTCTGAAAATCAGAAAACTGACTACGTTTTACCTTTCATGCTATTATGTTTCATCAGACAGTGGCTGCAACAGATTTCCGGTAGTTAGCTGCCTGTTTCGATTATCTTAAAACTAATGCAGATGTTGAATGGATGATCTGCTGATCGACTTGGCTTGTTTCCTTAGTTTTCATATTTTTGTTATCACCGCTTGACCGTTAAAGACTGATATTTAAGCAGTCGAAGTACTTTTTTTGTTGACTTCTTACCCAACCGACCAGCCGTAGAACCTGGGAAGTGCCAAGATTAACTTGGGGCAAGTATATGGAAGGATTCTGCTGTAGACTCCGGTTGTCTGCTACCGACGTTCCAACATTGGTACAAGTTCGGAAACATTGGAGACATTGTCTGATGCCTCCCCCTCTGTGATCCAAAATAACAAGCGG